GTTAGCCTTTAATCGAAAGCCACATTATGATTATTTTCAACATATAGCTGCTTTTACTGAACCTTCACTTCAGTGATAAGATCTATTAGAGATTTCTCTTCACTCTTTAATATAACACTGGTGAATGCTGACCACTATAGCCTCTCCGGCCAAAGAGACACAGTCAGTGGAGGTGGTTTGCAATATTTATTCATTGCTTCGTGTTCATGTGTCCATGGTTTTCTGAATAACAAAACAATAACCCCAACACAAAATTAGTGACTAATCAACTGAAGAAAACATAACTAAACATCAACCAGTAATTAAACCCCCCCAGAAATAAAGAAGAAATCATCTCACGGATCAGTCACTCATGGATTTGTTGAAAAGGGATTCCCAGGGCACTTCATATGTATCGAGAGATGTTTGCAGCTCACCGACCAGCCTCAAAATGCATGCCACCAGCTCTTCTTCTCTCACCTGATTTCAGTTGGCAATCAAGCCAGGCTTTGAGGCACCAGCCCTCCAGTGGCACACCTGTTTTGCGTCCGGGAATCATGGGAGGGTTCAGGGCTCAGGTGTCCACCAGTGGCAGCCATTTCCCCATTGCCAACAGGGAATTTGTAACAAGATCCTTATGCCAACTTTACAGAGTTACATACAGGTTTACTCCTGAACTGCCACCACACGACTCCCAAAAATATGTTCCTATGCACGTAAACAGCGTTCTCAACTATGTTTTGATGGAAACTTTTGATTGTGATACATCACAAGTACATTTTTAAAAAATCATCATATTTGTCATATGGCTTCACTGTCACTCTTTATCAGCCAACCAACCAGCTAACCCTATTTTTTTTTTTAAGTTATTTTTTTGGCCTTTGTTGGATAGCACTGTCAGAGAGAGACAGGAAAGTAGGGGAGAAGGACATGTGGGAAAGGGCCATGAGCAGGATTCGAACTCATGACCTCCACATTGGGACTGTAGCCCTGCACATGGGACGCCAGCTTAACCAGGTGAGCTATAGCGGCGCCCCCCAGCTAACCCTATTTATCAGCTAGCGCAGGACTCATCACTGTGGTAACCAAGAAATTAGACGACAAGCTTCAAATATGTTGTCAAAAGGTTGCACTTTGAGCCAAACTGTGACATTATCTCCTGAATGTAACTATGAAGTGTTAGTGTCTAATTTTAACCAAACTGCAAAGGAAAAGCAAAATTTAACCACAAGTGAAAACAAAGCTTTACTGTGGTTTTGTTGACCCTCCATCCACCCTGTTCTCCTCAGAGACTTTTTGTCTTCACAGTTGTGTCACCAGGCTTCCTGCTTTGCAGAAGCTGCAAAATTTTGGTGCCTAATCTTAACCAAACTGCAAAGGAAAAAATAAACTACGAGTGAAAACAAAACAGATTTGTTTTGTTGATAGTTATCTAAGAACGTAATTTGTGGCCAACAGGGCTTCACCACAGTCATGCAGGACGTGCTTACTTTCACCTACAACCTAGATTTGTCTATAAACAGTTTCTCTGCTTCAAAAAAACATGCTGCACATAAAGAGAAAACTAGAATTACTGCCTCGTGATTTTATGCTTTTGCCACTTAGTCAAGTTGTAGTTTACATCCACGTCTTTCCAGAATTGACCTTAAATCTTTTGGGTACAAAATGTCCTCGTGTGATCATTTTATCCTATTAGACATTTAGTATTAGCTCTTGAATGTTTAAGTTATGACCAAAACTGTGTTTGTTGAGGTCACAGTAACCTTTGACCACTAAACTCTAATCAGTTTATCACTGAGTCTAAGTGGATGTTTGTGCAACATCTGATATATTTCCCGAAGGAATGAAACCTGGACCAGAAACAAGGCGGACACATTTATCTCACTGATATCAGCAAGTCTGTTTACTGTTCACCCTCCTCACTCTGTATTAGAGCAGTATTAAGTTTCTGCCGCTGCAAACAGAACATCAGATGGCTGAAATACAGGAAGGCTTTTATTGTGAAGTGCAAAGGTTAATCTGATCAGTATCAACGGTTATCATTCATCTAAAATGCAACTACAAAGAGGAGAGCAGCCATTGAGGGAATTTTTTATCTGTTTTAAATGTTACAGGGAGCAGCATATGAAGCACAAGTCACAGTGCTGCTGCTGAATGAAGAGCTGCACATTTTCATCAGTTTTTATTTGCTCGGATGTTGTGTAAAAAACTACTGACACCGTACACAGTTCCAGTTTTCATTATTATTTGATCTGAATATCTCAGTTTCTTAGTCTCAGCTTTCTCATTTGGTCTAAGCTCCAGTCCAAACGTTCAAGATTCATTCATTCATTCATTCATTCATTCATTCATTCATTCATTCATTCAGCAGAGCCACAGTTCTCCCTCTGGCCTGCATGAGTAAAGGAAACCTGTCTTAAGGAGAGGAAAACATTTGATCGTCTCTCTGTGTTGATCAGTGTGACAGAAGTCCAGATGGCTGTAAGCAGGTTAATACGTTTCAAACCCAGTTAAACCTCTAAATGGAAAAAGCTGGAAAAGGTGACACATGTTTGGACCATCTGTTCCCAGGGTTGGCAGTTTGATTCCTGCATGTTCTGGATAAGCGTCCACTGGTGAAGCGACTGAAAAATCCTTCATTACTGCGGAGTCGTCCAAGAATTAAAGCAAAAAATGCTTCTTTTGACAGAGAAACTTTTGACTTGGACTCGAATCATCAATTTGATGACTTTTGGTTCGATTCACAGCTCAGCTCGTGACTTCACTTGGACTTTGACGTCCTCTCTGACATTATAGTCAATCGACCGACAACGAACGCAAGCCAACCAGGTTGCACAAGCAGGAGGGGAAAGGTGCATCTGGCAGCGCACACCGGCAGCTTTATCACATCCAGACATTAAAACGTTCACGTAAACAGAGCTCTAATGTTTATATTTCGATGTTTAAATTACAAATTTCCCTGCTAGCAGATCAGCTGTAAATAGTATGCGAACAGAGACCCCCGCCACCAATCTTAATCTTGATTAATCTCAACCCCGAGGCTGTTCTTTGAAATTTCCACCTGAAAAAACATCCCCGAATTCAGCCCGTAACTGCTGCACAACCGTGAGGCCAAAATGAACAACCTCAGGCTCTATGGATAAGAGACACTGGGGAGAATTTTGAAATACAATAAGTTTCGTTATCCTTATCAAAATGCCAGATTGAGATCTGAAAAAAAAAAAAAGGAATGAAATGGACGAACTAGAGAGCAAATGACAGCCTTATATAACTGACTCCGATGATGCCGATGATGTTGAACATGTTTCTGTAAATTCTCAACTACAAATCTACCAGATTTAATGCAACAGAAATGACGGGCAGCAAACGTTACATCCATTTAAATCCAAGCAGCACCACACCGTCTGTTCAGTTAATGCACCGCACTCGGTAGCCCCCTAATAAAAGTGGTTGGTTATATTTTAATAACAGATACAGTCTGGTTCTGGTACAATGTTATAAATGGTTAACTGAGCTTCACTTATGAGGAAAGCAAAACTACAACAATAAATAGTTTTCTGGATGGATATCTTTGCCCTCCCAGCAAAAACAATAATCGTCTATACACATGCGAACGAAAAAAATAACGACAAACGCTCTAACAGGCATGCAGGGCCTGTTAGGGAAAATATTCTTTAATTTAATTGTCCCTGCACACTTGAAACTGCAGATACTGTGAACCAAGCACTATTTGGAGACACAGAGGTTTTTCCTGGTGAATTGGTGCAGCAATGTCAAGTTTAGGAGTGAACTTGTTTTACTGCGAGATTTTAAAAAAACAGTATAAAGTTTCCACTGTTGTTGTTTCAGGCAAATGTTCAAAGCAACAATGAGCATGCATGAATAGAGGTGTGACATCAGCATCTCCCAAACTCTGTTTTACATGTCCACATGATCACATATAAACCAGTTATTATATACTTTATCCATCTATCCATCATCTATACACCACTTAATCCTATCCTAGCTGATTTAGGGTGAAGGCAGGTTCACCTGGACAGGTCACCAGTCTATCACAGGGCTACACTTAGAGACAGACAACCAAGCACACTCACATTCACACCTACGGACAATTTAGAATCACCAATTAACCTCAACATGTTTTTGGACTGTGTGGGAGGAAGCCGGAGAACCCGGAGAGAACCCACGCTGCACGGGGGGCACGTGTAAACTCCACGCAGAAAGATCCTGGGTGTCCTCACCGGGACGCGAACTGGCGACCTTCTTGCTGCGAGGCAACGGTGCTAACCACCGAGCCACCGTGCAGCCCATTATTTACTTTAGATAAATAAAAAACCCTCAGTTTGAGTGACCTAAAACAATGCTCGTGTGGATGATGACGATAATTCTGCTGCCACTCAACACAACTACTTTTCCTGCTCCTCAATCAACAAAAAACACATTAAATTGTACAACTCTTGGTACAGATGTTAAAATCTGAAAACAAATGGATTAAATAACAGACTTGAAACTCGGTTTGGATTTTGGATTTGGGTATGAAAGTAATAAATGTGAATTTTCTGTTCTGTTGCTCCATATTTAAATTTTCAAATGCCAATAATTGGGGAATGAAAACTCTCCAGAAACATTTGGGCATTGTCGTTTGAAGAGCAGTTTGCTTAAAAATGCAAGATGGCAATGCTCTGAGTGTCTGCAAGTCCATGTAGCTCCTTAGGTGCAAGCTTTTGTGAGTGTTTTAAAAGTGTTTTTAGTGGTTTTGTTTACTTGCAATGATGTTTGACAAAAGCTGCAAAATATAAAGCATTTTTGGCTGCAGCAATCACAAAAAAGAAAATTCTTCCGTTCTCTTGAATTTACCCGTTGGGGATGAATAAAGTATCTATCTATCTATCTATCTATCTATCTATCTATCTATCTATCTAGCTGAATAAACTACGATGTTTTCAAGGCGTGTGCAGTCAGTATTTGACAGTTACTCAGTGTTTGTCACAGTCCATCCAGACAGAACCGGCCGTACTCACCATGCATTTGTTGGGTTTTTCTCCAGAGTGGACCCTCATGTGGATGAGCAGCTTGTAGCGAGCGTTGAAGGGTTTGTGGCGTCGCACACAGCCGGCCCAGAAACACGCAAACTCCTCCCCTTTCCTCTGGTCGATGTGCACCTTCTCGATGTGCCTCACCAGCTCCTCCTGGCTGCTGTAGGCGGCGCTGCAGTCGATCCAATGACACGGCTGCTCCTGCTGGTCCAGCGCCAGGTCCGGTCCCACGGGTCCGTTAAGCCTCGGGGACTGAAGGGGCGACGGCGTGTTGTCCTGACCCTCGTAACCCTGAAGGGGTTGGCCTAAATGGAACAGCTCCCCCTGCTGGGTGTTTAGAAACGGTTCCCTTTTACACGGCAGGAAATCATCTGCAGGCTCTTGTTTTATGGATCGATACTCGTCCTGCAGCTTCTGTTGCTGCTGAGACGGTTTGTTGTCGGCATCGGAAAGGGATAAACAAGAGGTGAAGAGCAAAGATGAGGAGGACGAGGACATGGAGGACGGTGGAGAGCCAAAAGACGGAGACGTGGCGCAGCTGGTGAGCATGTAGGAGATGGGAATGGATGGCTGAGGGTAGCAGCTGAACCTCTGGCTGCTGTTTTTGGGGTCTTTGCTGGCAAAGTCCTCAGCAGTCTTTTCTAAGTGGGATCCAGCTGCTTTACAGCTGAGCAGGGAGCTGAGGTCTCGTCCCAGCGAGGACAAGGACAGCGACGTCCTCGGCAGCAGGCACAGGCCTCCCGAGTGGATGGACGGCTGGCAGAATCCACCGGAGGACAGCGGCGCCTGGAGCTCCTCGGCATCCTCGAACACACTCCCAAACCCAGGAAGAGTCAGCTGCACATCTGGAGGTCCGAGGTCAGGGGGCCACATGGCGGCCCCCGCTGGCTGGCTCCCACCAGGAGATCCCTTCAGTCAAATCGTCGATCTCTTGGAGCGACTTTAAGAACCCATTGGGGGTAAAACCGTCCACAGCATCTTTCAGTACTCAGCAGTAATCGAGTTAGATTGATGCGCTGCTGCTGGCATCTTCTGCAATCTGTCGTTTGTTCCAAACTGCTGCCTGGTCAATCATCACTCGCGCGCTGTGGGAGGCAGAAACAAGAACCAAATGAGTCATTGTGAGAGACGAAAAAAATCACACAAAGCACTTTCTGAAACAACTCATCAAAAAAAACAACAACTCTGTAGGATCTGAAGCTTTGAAACAACAGGCTTCATGCACCTGTAGAGGAAAGAAGAACTCATGTGTACCTGATGTTAATTCTGATTCATAAGCAGCACTTTATTGTTGTAGGTAGTTTTAACAACTTTATATACGGTTCAGTAGTTTAGTCCAGTGGTTCAACATAGGGGTTGGGCCCCTCCAGAGGGGCACAAGATAAATCTGAGGGGATGTGAAATAACTAATAAGGTAGGAATGAAGAAAAGCAAAGTCATCTAGAGGGCTGTATTACGAAGCAAGATTAGTGGGTTATCAGGTATGTTCAGTTTAAAGTCAGAGTTTTCAGTGTCACAAAGGTGGCTCTCTTTTTACCTGCTAGATCTCCATGGTAACTGATGCTGTGGAGCTAACCTGGTCGGGAGCAGGTAATGTTCAGAGTTTCAGATTTAAATCAGCTGCAAGAAGCGTCTCCCTTTAACCAAATCGTTTACCGACTATTATATGTGAGCAATACAGATTCTCAGCTGAAGGAATATCTGCAAACATGCTGAGCATCATGGCGGAGAGACGGAGCGCTCTGACGGGGTGGAAGTGGCCGGAACACACAGGCAGTACTTAGCTGCTGATGCCTGTTTAGGTTGGCGGTCACAGTTCTGCTGCCACCATCAGTGGAGGTGGTGGGGGGTGTGCTGGTTGTGGGCGAATGTATATCCCGATACCACCACAACGACTGAACATTCGGATATTTGGATGTTCAGGTCCAGCCCTACTGTAGTTCTCACGTTGCCATGGGAACCTGACATCTGTTAAGTTGGCGATGCAGAAATCACATAAATATGTTTTTATGTCTGGCTCTGATTTGCTGTCAGGTCCGTTTATTCTGCTGGTACTGTAGCTGATAGAACACAGATCAGAGAATGGATCATTCTGCTGGTATGTATTACAGAGAATATTCAATCAATAACACTGATTTTACTTTGATTTAGCCAAAAATTAAAGTGATGTCCTGCATTCAACAATTTCCCTGGGGTTTGCACCAAAGGGATCAATAAAGTTCTATTCTATTCTATTCTATTCTATTATGGGACAGTGTCAGACCTAAATGTGATTCAATTCAAAATCATGTTTAAATGTATGAAGTTTAAAGTTTAACTTTAACGTGCAGCTGTCAGTTGGAAATAAGCATCGGTAAAATATTCTACATTAACATGTTTAACAGTTTCCTACCAGCATTCCTGTCTTGCACCAATTGCAGGAGCAGCGCTTTTTACCGTTATATATTTTTTTAATATATTCCTCATTGTTCTCTATAAAAAAACAGCGTGTTGAGTGAAGCAGCTGCACACGATCGGTTCATATTGTGCAGAAGAAGAGTCACCTGAAGCGTTAAACGTCCCTTTTTTATGTGAACCCGCACAGAGTCTGAAGCAGAAAGCCTGAGTTGACAAAGAAAGTTGAAAACCACCTTTGTGATACCCGTCATCTCTGACTGGGGCTTTCGGGTTTGTTGAGCCGGCTTACACAAAGAAAGCCCGGCTATGTCCAACTTGTACACCCTGCTGGTAAAACTTCTAATGACTCATTAACATCGAAAGTGTGTCAAGGGATCCTAATTCCTTTTTTTTAACAAGCTAAAGGTTGGGAACTTCATACTTTTTATGTCACGGTAGGCAGGTGTTTTAGAATGTTGCATGCAAAATCTCAATCTGCACAATGACTTTACCTGTGGAGTAGAAAGTTTAATACATTTGCTTGAAATTTGACCCTCTGAGCCCCAAGTGTTTTCTCTGCATTTTTTTTTTCTCCTTTTACATGTTAACTCACTGAGGGCTCATGTTTCACTGTAGTATGAAGTCCTGCACCCATGACTAGAGGTAGAGGGAACTCGTACATTTTCTGTGCAGTATGACACAGTTATAATGTCATAAATCATAAATAAGAAAAAAAATGACAGTTGAATTTTTAAAAATTCTTTTATAAAAACTGAAAAAAGAATGGAATAAACATGTACAACATCTTTTATAATGCCAATCCTGGAAAAATCATTACTCTGTGTGTTATAGATATTTCACTACTGACATTATTTATTTGTTTCTATGCATATTTCTTATCTGCTCTGTTTAAACGCAGCCTGCAGTTCAGAAGTTCCTGAATTTTCTTCATGTTACTGTTGGTCGCTGCTCAGTTATTTATAGCTTCTCATTTATGCTGAGTGCAGATTTTGTTATTATTCTACCAAATCTGGCCACCAGAAATAAACCATTTCTGGTGATTTATTATTTGAGGCATGTTGAATAAGGTTATTTTGAGGAAGTATCCTGATTTGAACTGCTTGTCATACATTATCAAATCAAGGACTGTTGGACTATTCTTTCTGTTTTTACAGCCTGGTAAATAGTGTAATTTTAGCAGTTTTTAAAAGATAACATACCTTTTAAACTCTTTTTGGGGTTCAGAAAACTAACAGATTTAAAGTGCAATGCAGCATAAAATCGAATAACTGCAGTAAAAAATACCTCCTTGTAAATTCACACCTCTCACACTGACAAAAAGGATCAAAATCGACCCAGCAGAACCAGAACGACTGTCTGTTCTGACGTTTAAACTTGTGGTCTTCGGACCCAGCAGACTCCAGTGAAAGATTTTCCCACAGCTCCCTCAAAAGGCTTTACACAAAACAGATTTCAGTGTGCGGAACTGATGGATTTGTCCCTTACAGAAAGCGCTTAGCACATCGGCTAAACTGAGTCAAGATTTATTGCGGTGTTGTGACGCCACGACTCAGCTGGTGTGACAGCTCCCATATAAACCCCCCTCCCCCCCAAAATGTGCCCCTCCGTGAACCTCGTTTCCACTCTGGGTTCAATCACTGACAACAAATGGACCAAGGTGAACGGCAGAGGAGTTTACGGACGGAGTGAAACCCAAACAAACACGGAGTCCGACCCCCGTGTCAGCAGGCTTCAGTCAAACACGTCCGAGTGCGACGCTGCAGCGAGTGTATATTTGGTTTCCTCTGAGCTGCTGTGACAGTCGGGTCTGATTCATCGCTGCAGGCGCTGAGGCCACCATGCAGCAAACAGCCGGGCGCTGTGTGGCAGCCGATCGCCTGGAACCTGGTCCAGATGCTTGTTAACAGAGGAAGAGTAATGGACCACATCGCTCCGCTCGCTACTGATGCAACACAGGGAGGCTGGAAAATGGAGGACGCTCCCCTCCTCTCACCAACACCCCTGTCACACATACAGTAGCTCCACTGTGCAAAAAGTCCTCAACTGTTTATTGGACTTGACTTCCACAGCATTCTGCCAGATATTGATGATCTAATCTACGGCAGGATCCTCGCCACGTGCAATTAGTCATAGGAAAGATTCAATGCTGATGGTTATTTTACAAGCCAGCAACCGACGCAGCTAACAGGATGAGTAAGTTCACTTCTGCAGTTATATTAGCTGACGAAGGAGTCACTAAGTGTAGGTTCATGCCCATAGTTTCCTGGTATAGTCTGGTTTACAGTTTTATGATTCTTCCCGTAAATCGCTGGAAGTTCCCCCCACCAGAGCCGTGTAGCGGACCAGTCATGGGAACTGTGGTTGAGTCTTAATTAGAGAGGCTGCGACGTGTCTGTGTGTCGACGAGCTGAGCCGGATTAATGATACCAGGGAAGCTCGAGTGGTTTGCTATGTTTGAAGTATGATAATTGCAACCTAGTACCTGTTGGCTTTGAGAGCTAAAACCAATATTAGAGTTTCGAGGGCAAACAGAACATCAGAACAATCAAAGACGGAAAAAGTTCATAATCTCAGATCGTGTGAACTTCCACTCGGCCGTAAATATAGCAGAAATCCAACAGCAAATATGGAAAAACAGGCTTATTTTTCACAGTTCCTGTTCACAAACCACTTTGGTCCGAATCCAGAAAGACGAGTCAGACAGTAAAACTAAGAAAAGTGTCCCCACAAAGCCTCAACTGAGCCAGAGGACTTTATAAAATAGCAGCCTCATCTCATGTGGTGTCTTTTAAAGACTCACTTGCTGAGGTTAGCTAAACACAGCTGTGGCATTTCAGGACAAGCAAATGTGTACTTGTCTCAACAATAAGCACTTTGGTTCTTGAACTACAAACTTTTTATTTTTTGTGCTTTTTATTTTGGCTGAAATGTGGGAAAATACTCTCATTGAAATGAGAAATGTTCGGATTCTTAATCTTATTCTTCCTCAATTATACTTAATGGAGTTTTTGAAGTGTCAGAGATTAAATAAATTTACATAAATGCAGTTGAATATTAATCTTGTTTTTCTAAGGTATATCAGTATAAATGATATCTTTATAAATAAACCAATATACAGCTTTACATTGTTTTGCGTGGTAAAATAATGTCGCTATTGCAACAGACAGTTCAACCTTCAGAAAGTGCACCTGAAGCTCATTTATCTGTAAAAATCTGCACATTTTTTTTACTTCTTGTGACGAGAATTGAATGTTTATTGGTGGAAGCTGACTGTGTCACCTGCCACCTGCAATAACCAACATTTTACGGTAATCAAAGTCGTCGTCACCCAAATCTGCATTGTTTTAGTGTCATCCTTTTGAAAACATGTAAACTCAGCGATCTCATCAATCAGGCAGCTGCTTCAGTCCAAAGGCTGTGAAAAACCCACACAACCCACCGAGCACCAAACCGCAGACGCAGCATTAGCAACCAGCTGCTCAACACAGCCGAGCAATTAGTCAGTCTCTCAGGAATTTTCTTTCTTTTGATTGTTGCAGCCAAAAAAATGCCTGATTTTGCAGCAGCTTTTGTCACAATTTCTGTTTCATCTCGCAAAGTTTTATGTGTTTTTTTGGCATCAAATTGCATAAACTGCCAAAACTTCAATTGTAGCAGCAGCATTACAAGCATTAAAAAAACATAAACA